AAGCTGAGACTTTTGCCCGTACAGCAAAAAAAAAAAGAAATTATAATTTTTGAAATTTAAATATTAAATATGTTTATTTATGCAATCTGAAATGTGAATTCAAGCTATATCAGATTACTATAATAAGATAACTTGTGCTTTGCTATATTTTAGTTTAGAAATTTGTTTAAAAACAGGATCTAGCAATCTGTAACATCTGGAATTTAAAAGAGTTTTTATTACATATAGTTTTTTGAAAGCAAAATAAATCATTCTTATTATTTATTTATTTATTTGTTCTGTCATTAATGGTCTTTTTAAATTCCCATAAACTTATTCCTAATCCTTTCGTCTGCTTTATCTTTAAAATGTAAATATTTAAATATTTAGGTGTAAACCATAATTAAATATTATAAACAAATAGAAGAGAAAGCTTTAGCGTCACCTTTCAAAAATCACGCATACGCAGTGTTACCTTTAAGTACGCCCAGGCCTAATAACAATCTGCAAGGCTTTGGCTTTTTTGAAATATAACTATTAAAAATTAAATGGTAATGAAGCTTTTAAATGTTGGCTTATTGCTCTCCCAACACTTTGCACATGCTTTTGCGGAGGGGTCACCTCTGGCCCACTGATAACCATAACAATCTTGTTTGCTGTTTGCGTTTGGCAATTAAAAACTTGTTGATTGTGGGCTACATAGTACCTACATCCCGTTCCCCCCTACTTATTCCGGGTTCTAATTGAGATGTAGCCACACACACACACATACACACTCGGAGCAGAGGCAACACCGCCCAAACACTAATATTTGATTTATGGGGAACTAGTTAGAGTCTGTGGAACAGTCCATTTCGGTGGCATCGCCAACTAAAGGGTTAGCCATAAAAGGTTGCCCATGGATTAGCCGCTGAAAGGGCAGTGGTTACCATTTTTGGGTTGAAAGTTATCTAAAGCTTCGTTGTTTGTGTTGTTTAATTATAATTACTATAGTAAAGCAATATTATTCCCATCTTCCAAATGCGTGAATTTGTGTTTTATTCAATAATTTATTTAGTGTGAATGTTATTATAACAAAAAATTTTGAGTTAATTAATAAACAAGAAAGGACCGCTATATGATAAAGTAGTCCGATTTTCAAAAAAAAAATTTCACAAAATTGTAGAATAATATATAATGTCTATATCTTAAATTTGATGAAAATCTGTTGAAAATTGTAAAAATGATTTCTTTCCTAAAATTTTCCGATTGTTCCTATGCCAGCTATATATATGTATACATATAGTCCACCGATTCGCTATGCTCCGATTTATATACTAGTAAAATTATATAGGAGAATTACTCTATAGTTTCATTCAAATAGCTTAAAATTGTTCCAAAACAAATCTCGCGCATCTGTGCATATAATTCCCAACTTGTTCTAACATCCCCGGAACGAAGTGGCTTCTGCTGGCCAAGTCTCAGATATGTGTTGTGTTACAAAAATTGCAAGTCATGTTTATTAGTGTTCAAAGTTAGTAACTGATCATACATACTTATTTGTCATGGATACTAATGATCATAGTTACTTACTAGTCATAGATAATTACTGATCATAGTTACTTAATGGTCATAGATACTTACTTTCCAGAGTTACTTACTTCTCATAGTTAATTACTGATCATAGTTCTATAAATCGTCCGATTGTTCCTATGTCAGCTATATATATGTATACATATAGTCCACCGATTCGCCATGCTCCGATTTATATTCCAGTAAAATTATATAGGAGAATAACTCTATAGTTTCATTCAAATAGCTTAAAATTGTTCCAAAACAAATCTCGCGCATCTGTGCATATGATTCCCAACTTGTTCTAACATCCCCGGAACGAAGTGACTTCTGCCGGCCATGTCTCTGCGAAGTGTTGTTACAAAAGTTGCAAGTCATTGTTTATTAGTGTTCAAAGTTAATTACTGATCATAGATACTTAATTGTCATAGATTGTCATAGATATTTCCTAGTCATAGATACTTATTGTTCAGAGTTACTTACTGATCATAGTTACTTGCTGGTCATATTTAATTACTGGTCATAGTTAATTACTGATCATAGTTACTTGCTGTTCATATTTAATTACTGATCATAATTCTATAAATCGTCCGATTGTTTCAATGGCTGATATATACACTCCTGTTCATAATTATACGACACCTATGAAATTTTTGTTTCAGCGGTCGTAGGAGAATGGAAACACACAGTAGATCAAAATAAATTATGACGAATAATAGCACAAGGAGTTGTGCACAAAATCCGCTATTCGTATCCTTGCTTGCATCACTCGTTTTCAAGTAACGGTAAAAAATGCACACACGCCCTGATTTAGGCTACCCAGAAATTGTTTCAAAATGATACGACACATTTCAATTATTGCGGCTAAAGAGGAAGGTTTAGTGTTTATTGGTTTTTTCATAATTTTGTTAAATATTTTATTCATTTTTTAATAAAATGCCGCATGGTAGCTTATTAAGCGAAGGAGAGAAGGGAAAAATTAAGGCGTATAACGAGTCTGGCTTTAATGTTTGCCAAATATCCCGGCTGATGGGTCGAACACGCTGTATTATTACCAAATTTTTGAAAAATGTGGATGGGTACGGTGTCAGGCGTAGCTCTGGAAGAAATCCGAAGCTATCTGATCGCGACAAACGTCGAGTATTTAACAATGCAAGCAATTCTTTTTCATCGTGAGCCTCACTTTCTGCGTGTTGCAGTCGTCCTGTGTCCCGTAGGACTATCTGACGAACATTGCTAAGCTCCGAAAATATTGTAAGAGTAGTTTTTAAAAAAATTCCGATATTAAAACCGCAGCCCAAAAGAGCACGACTTCAGTTTGCCGAAAACAATTAGGAAACAAACTGGACCTCAATATGGAATTTTAACTCAACTTTGGTTATAAAGGTTTTTGTCAATATTTCACATTTTAGATAATTTTTTCTGATGAGAAAAAATGTAATCTTGATGGCCCAGATGGGTTTCGTCCTAATTGGCTTGATTTGGGTAAGGATCCCCTTATGTTCCTAACATGCAATTTTGGAGGCGGATCAGGTATGGCTTGGGGAACCTTTCATGCGGTTGGTACGCTTGAACTGTGCTTTACAAGCTCAGAAATTAAAAGTCCAGACTACAAAAATGTGTTACAAGATCGTCCTCTGTAATTTTCGGATCAGAATAAGGACCAAAATTATGTCTTTATGCAGGATAATGCAAATGCAAAGAGACGCAACGGTTCGTCAATGACAATAAAATGAATATTTTGGATTGGCCGGCTTGCTCTCCTAACCTTAAACCGATTGAAAACATCTAGGGTATCTTAGCCAGGCGAGTTTACGCCAACAACAACAAATTTCAGACTGTTAAAAGTCTCAAAAATGAAATTTTAAGACAATGGTCTCTCTTGGATCAAAATATCTTAAAAAACCTTAAAAATTCAATGCCTAAAAGAATTTTTGAAGTGGGAAAAGCACAAGGCGCCGTTATAAACTATTAATATTTAGTTATAAACAATTAAACCAATAAAATATTAGCTGTAAACAAAAATAAAGAAATGTGTCGTATCATTTTGAAACAATTTCTGGGTAGCCTAAATCAGGGCGTGTGTGCATTTTTTACCGTTACTTGAAAACGAGTGATGCAAGCAAGGATACGAATAGCGGATTTTGTGCACAACTCCTTGTGCTATTATTCGTCATACTTTATTTTGATCTACTGTGTGTTTCCATTCTCCTACGACCGCTGAAACAAAAATTTCATAGGTGTCGTATAATTATGAACAGGAGTGTATATGTATATATATATTGTCCACCGATTCGCCATGCTCCGATTTATATACTATTAATATTATATAGAAGAATAACAGCATAGTTTCATTCAAATAGCTTTAATTTGTTCCAAAACAAATCTCCCACATCTGTGCATATGATTCTCAACTAGTTCTATCATCTCCGGAACGAAGTTACTTCTGCGGGCCATGTCCCAGCGAAGTGTTGTGTTACAAAAGTTGCAAGTCATTGTTTATTAGTGTTCAAAGTTATTAACTGATCATACATACTTACTGGTCATAGATACTTAATTGTCATAGATACTTACTGTGCAGAGTTACTTACTGGTCATATATACTTACTGTTCAGAGTTACTTACTGCTCATAGTTACTTGCTGATCATAAATAATTACTGATCATAGTTAATTATCGATCATAGTTGCTTACTGTTCCTCGTAACTTATTTTTGAAATATACGTACTGATCCTTTACAATTAACAACCGTTTCTGTGGAAACTATATTATATAGTATTCAGATTATAACAACATAATAAGGCAAAACAGTATTTAAAGGGTCAGCCGCTAACAAAGTATAATCTAGTTATTCTAAATACCAAATGCAGAAACTTTAATTATCTGTACATTTTCCATATATAAACCTAACTAACTTTACCATATCTGTCTGTTTTTTACAGTTTTGCTGATAACGGAAACAAGTGGCAATAACATAGAATAAATTAACACGGCGCAAATATAAAAAGGTTCAAAAAGGCCAAAAGAGTAAATGCGAATTTCAAAGTGAAAGAAGTGCAAAGTCAACAACTTGTGGGAGTCAAGCTATCGAGTTTCGAATTCTCGAGTTCTTGGGTCCTTGCCCGTGTCCGTGTCCGTGTCCGCGTCCGTGGCCAGTGTGTTAGTGTTGCGCGTGAGTGAGTCCGGACTCCGGAGAAGCCACAACGTCGTCCACAAAACCATCGACCTCGACTGCCGCCGCTGCCGCTGCCGCCGCCGCTGCTGCTGCTGGATCGGGATCAGGAGCAGGAGCAGGTGCAGTATCCGGATCGGGAGCAGGACCTGCTGCTACCGGTCACCAGAGAAGCGGCGGACGCAGCGGCCAGCGACGTCGCAGTAGCAGCAGTAATCCACACGCCGGCACAACGAAAGCGACCAGCGGCAGCGGTGGAGCTGGCAGCGCCGGCGGAGGAGGCGGTGGCGGCGGCGGTGGTGGTGGGGTCAAGCAGAGCGTCAGCCGGAATAGCAATATACGGAGCAGCAGCTCGAACAGCACCATGGCCTCGGCGAATCACCGGGGTGGCGGCGGCGGGCGAGGTGGCGGTGGCGCCGTCGCCGGTGCCGGTGCCGATGGCAATGCGATCGTTGGCCTCCAAATCGGTTCCGCCTGGTTTCAGCGCAAGATCAACCTGAGGCCGCAGCACCGCGGCGTCCATCTGGTCACCGAGGAGATACTCCGCCAGATGCCGGAGCTGGCGCACTTCTCAGTGGGATTATGTCACATGCAGAGTGAGTACAAAATCGAAAATAATTAACCAACTTTGGGGGAAACTTGAGGAAGCTGAAAATAAATTTTAAACGACTTGGAATAATATCGCTTACATTACTTTCGCAGTTAGGAGTCGTTAGACGGCCACCACCTTGCCCGCTGTTGCTTCGCTAAGTGATTACCCGAATTCGGGGCTCAAATGTCAGTTAATCGACGGGACCAGCTGGAAATCTCTGCCAGCTGCCGGCAGTCGCCCCCTCATTTCCATACCATCCATCTTCCTCTGTTCGATGACGATTTCGCACACGCTCCGAACTGGCTTTAACTCGGTGGCCAGGAGGAGGAGGAGTGGCAGGCCACTATGCTTTCAAGGATGGAGGAAGAGACGAAGCCATCCATGAGGCATCGCATTTCCTTTGTCCGCCCAAAATGCCGGGATTGGATTTCCCCAGAGGGGTGGCGAGTCCCCGGCTAGGGCCAAGGCGTTTGCATTTTGGGTACAAAGTTCATTCAGGACAAACAACAGAACGTGGAACTTGCATACCAAATTCAGTTCGCAAGAACTGCACAAATTGTTGCCGAATTCGGCAGGGCGTCCGAGAGCAGGATTTGGGTTTTAGAGAACTTGAAGGACTCGCAGGGACAGCAGCAGCTAAGGCTCATTTGTATTAGCAAGTAACTGGGTTAAACTAAACAGAGATAAACTGACTGACTGACCGACCGGCCACTGCTTTGGCACAAGAAAATTGCGATTGACATTCGTTTGGCTTTCCGAATGTCGAGAGTAGTCAGGCCTTTGTGTGACCAAATCGAAGGGTTGACCCACATGTAGACGGAGTTTTCCCAAATTAAATGAGATGGCGAATGGGGTGATGGAGTGAGTGCTCCCTGCTGTTAGGACTTTTCAGAGAGCTGACCCATTAAGGGATTATGCTTTAAATACAGTGCCTTAAATACTATATAGAATAATGAGATAAACAGAGCTACAAGTTCTACTTTTTAATTATATATAACCCTCCGAGTTCTAAGCAAACTTCCACTTCATTTTCGAGCTTACTTTCCAACTCCTATATATGCCATATGCCTCTTGACAGGACGCAAGGCTATTTGAGTCCTTGTTTAAGCTTTATATTCCTTGCTGCGAAGGAATGCATTCGCAGTAATCTTCGGATTGCAGTTTCTGCAAAGTATTCCTTTTTGCGCCCGGCTGCCGCTGCTGGTGCTCTCTGCACACTAATTCTCGTGTGGAATCCCCGCTTTCAAAAGCCTTCTGACAGCGGCAGCACACAGAAAAAAAATATAGGCTACAAAGTACAATAAAATTGACTAATATTAAGAGATACAAGTACTTCACATAATCCTAAAGAAAACCTTAAGCACTTACTGTTCTTTTGTGTACTAGGAAGTGGATGTCCTTCCAAATTTTTCCCTGTGTAGAGAAATAGAAGCTGAAGACGTCGAGGAGGCAGTGCAAACAGAGAAACAACCTCCAGAGCTGGCTGCCTTGGAGGCAGCTTCTTGTTGACAGTTCGCATTACAATGCCAGGACGCGTTCCGTTCCTCCAAGCTGCGGCTTTCCATCTCTCTTCCACTGCCGCTCAGACCTGGGTAAATAAATAAAATCGTATCATAAAACGCCAGTTGAAGGAGGGGCCGGCCCAAGGGGCGGGATATATGTGGGCTAGTTGGGAGTTTGGCCTGGCTAAAGTGAAAAGCAATCGTCGTCTTAGTCGCAGTCGTCGCTCATGTCTGCATGTCATGGTCTGTGGCTATGGCGTGTGAATGCTCGAGGCGAACTTTTTCTCCAGCCCCACACAATTTCCATTGCTTTGGAAAACCCCCTCTTTATGCCATGTCTCTGTATAGGAAGAAATAATGTAGGAATCTGGTTTTTATTCAATTTTTAATTAAATATTGTCTTAACATATTGCCTTTGAAGTGTGTTATATTCATTGATAACTAAGAAGTTCTCTAAGAAATGTTTATTAAATGTATATTTCGGGAGCTTCGTTAATCCTTGGGTTGCTCTGTTGTATGTCGTCGTATTAATTGTGATATATTTACCTTTACAAAGGTATATTTTTAAATTAAATATTTCCTAGTTATTAGTGAATGAATAACCCATTTCTTTCCGTGTACAAATCGTCTTAGCCAGCACATTGCAGGCAAGTCTTTATTATTACGGAAACCTTCGCTTGCTCTTTCCTCCTATTTTTTTTTTTGCCAAATCAAAAGCACGTGTGTCCCTCCTTCAAACCCCATTTCCCCTCCCCTTCCCCCCTCGTTGTGTGTGCGTGTTTGTTGTCTGGGGTGCTCACTGTACGTGTATTGTTTTGTGAACTGTAAGCGGAATCTAATTGAGGTCAAGACATGTTTATTGATTTTCTTAAAAGGACTTCCTAATTAGACACACACTTTACCCAAAGGAAGCTTAATCTTTACCCACTTTTCCCTGCAAAAAAAAAAAAAAATATAGAAAAGCTAGAAAAACTAGTGGTAAATAGTAAATGCAGGTAAATGAAAAGCGACTCCCGCGTTTTCAATCTTGCTCCACTTCCAAGGAGAAAGGCAACAAAAAAGTTAATTTCGAACAAAAAAAGGAAATGGGGAAAAATAATTTCAAAGCAACCTTGCCATATGTTGTTGTCTTTTACTATTGACCTCAATAGGCCCCCCTCTTTCCGCCCTTTGTTTCTATGGGGAAAAGGCGCAACCGAAAAGTCAATGAAATGTTCGGGGGAAAAGTGGCCAAGAGGACACACAACAAATCACAAATATGTATATACAAAAATATAAGCCAAATGTAATGGTAACTTGTTAAACACAACAATGGGGGAATGCAAGGAAATGCTGAGGCTAAAAAATGATATATCACAGTCCTGGCTCCGACTTTCCCACCTGGTAGCTCTGCCACAATGCGGCGACTTCCCCTCCGACAATGACTTGGTTCTTTTTATTAATATTCATATGTGCGGCAGGAAGGTCGTCCGAACTGACCCATTGGGGGCTCCTACCATATCCCCAATATATCGGCGAGACCTCCAAGTTCCCCCCAAACAAATGGCAATCGCACATAGCCTACAAACGTGAATATATGTATAGCATGTAATAGCCAGGCTAATTGCCAGTTGGGGGCTGTTTGATGATTTGTTTGGGCTTTTACTTAAGCCAACATTTAAAAGGTTAGATCTAAAGGAAGTTGCAGTGATAGGAATTGAAAGTTGGGTCATGATTTAGAAAGAATTTCACGATTGTGGTTCTTGAAATATATATATGTACATTGTCATTGGCGTAAATGGACATTTTAAATTTGAATAAAATAACTATTCCAACCAATAAGGCGCCTAAAATAATAATTATATTTAGGGATTGATTCTTTAGTTTTGTAATGGGTATTTGAATTAGCAAACCTATGAAAATTTTAAGCTCTGCTTATAGTTTTGGTTGATTTTTTTATCCCTTTCAGGTTATTAAAAATTTAGTTAGAAGACTGAAAATCAGTGAAGGAATCATTTCCGACCCTATTAAATGTATATATTCTTGATCAGCATCAAAAATCGAGTCAATCTAGCTATGTCCGGATAAAATTTAATTTTTTCAATATTTTGAAAATTTTATTCGTTAAAAAGGTAAAAATTTGATAAAAATATTAATATTTTTACATTTTAAATGAAGTATGCAGATTTATTAGCATAATAAAAACTTGCATGGGACAGTTTTCCGATTTAAAATTAATGCATTTTTTGCTTAGTTATGATAGATTTAAATTTCGGCCCCTTATCCTTTTAAAATCCTTTAAGGGTAAACCAACTTTGGTTTCCCGAAAATAGCTTCCTTTCTTTTATATTGATATTTTCTTATTATCTTATCTTATACAGTTTATTGAAAAAACTCTTCTTGAATGCCAAGAAAGATTACACTGAAATAGTAACCTAAAGTCAGATATAAACCTATAAGATTAAAATACCTTAAGTTCATGTAGTTTATTTTGAAAATCAAACTTTAGGGGACCATTTAAAGATGTCCCAGGATCCGAATAAGGATTCCCCCCTTCCCAAAGGCCGAAAAGATTGTGGGAAGAACCATTCTCGACAGCAATTTGCTGCATAATCGCAAGATCATATAAATGGCTCAACTTCAATTTATAACCCGAGCATATTTTTCAGCCAGAAAGGAAAGGACTCCACCGCGCCGGAGTGTCCTTTTGTGGGGGGGGAAGGAGTGGAGCAACACCAAATAAATCAACAGCCAGCGAAAGCGAAACCAATTTTGGGGAAAGGGTACCTACCGCCTTTGAGTTTGGGAGTTGCTTTATTTTTTTTTGGATATTTTTCTTGGAGCCTCTAACATTAGGGGTATACTTTACTTGTGTGTGTGGGCGGAGTGTGCTCCTCGGCCATTTCTCTTTTGCCCTCGTCCTTTTTGCTACGCCACTGTTTCGTGACGACAGGAGCAGGACAAAAACTGCGAAAAGAGGGGAAAACAAAGAAAACAAAGAGGAGAACAGCGAATGGGAGAAAGGCGAAAAAGGAAAACAAATCGTGCCATGTGTGTGTCATACTTTTTGGGCTTCCGTTGTGTGCGGGCATTATTCCCCTGCCCCTGCCCCTGTCCCTGTCCCTCCTGGCCATTTTCCTTGCTGCCTTTTCCTTGCTCCTTTCGCTTTCGCTTTCGGTGTTGCTTAGCATTAAAATTGCTCGCTTATGAACCGCAAAATACGCTGCTGCGCTACCCAATAAATCAATATTATTTATGCAAAACGAGCACGCCAAAAGGTTTTTCGGTGGCCCGCTTTTCCGATTTTCCCAATGCTATCTCGGGGTGTGCTTGAACTAGTTCCGCTTTCGCCTAGCACCAGCACCTGACACCAAAGGAAAAACGGTGGAGATATATGTACGTGCTATACGTGCTATGTTAGATATAGAACACCAGGCCAGCTAACCCCCTTTTCTCGCGGTGTTCTGCTCTCTGATTTCAGAGCCTGGAGTCTCGGGATAAGCATAAAAGTCAACGGCTATGTAATAAGAAGGTTGATGAATTTAAGCATTTCCTTCAGCATTTCGTTATGTAATATATATACACACCCTCAGCAAAACTCCCGACGCACACTCACGTGCTTCCTTACTTTGGGGGTCAGGAAAATAGGAACTGAAAAGGATCCTTAAACTTGAATGGGTTAATAATATCTTCAAGTTTCAAGGGTTAGATACTATGGAAGATTTGATAGAATTGGTTTAAAAATGATTTGTTTATTTTTAGGATAAGCAATTGTTTTTGTTCAGCCTGAACTTTTCTCAATTTTTATACCACTTCAGGACATTATAATTTTAATAAGCATTTATAAATAATATATATTCTTGATCAGCATTTACATGTTCCGGATGAACACTTGATCACTTTCAAGATGAATATTCTAAATATTGCGATGTACAAATGAATTAGACCTCTTGCTTGTAGCTGTCTTTTCCTGACAACTTCCTGACAACACCTTTTCCATCTATATCCTGTGAATCCTTGAGTCCTGCATCTTTGACCGTTGCTGTGTGGGTGTAACCGTATCCGTATCTGTGTCTGTGTCTGCTCCTGTGTCTGAGTGCGTGTTTGCATGAATATATGAATGAACACAGCCAGCTGAGCTGAGAGTCAAGTCGAGAGTTGAGTTGTGTTCAGTCCATTGTTAAACACTGACGCTACGCCTGTGTGTGTGTGTGTGTGTGTGTGGCCACTGCGGTTGTATATTTGCATCGGTATTGGTGTGTGGGTGTGTGTGTGTGTGGTGTGTGCACTGCTCGGTGCTTGTTTGTGCTGTCAGAATGTTTGACTTTGTATAATAAAAAGGCCTCTTTAAAAACATTAGCAACTTTTGTAGTGCCTAAACGCCTGCTACATGTGGCCAGGACGAAGGCGCTCCTCCAGCTCTCGCACCCCTTCCACAGCCACACACCCGCACACCCACACACCCACTCGCACACACAGGCGACTAAACAGCTAAACAGGCGGCCAAAACGATGCCACCTGCTACTTAACGATGCGTACTGCACTGTGATAAATTCCTAGAGGTTGGTTTTTGGGTTAATTAGCCGGGAAAGTTATAGTAAGCTTAACTTAAGCTTAAAGTTTTTAAAGTGCTTTAATTAACAAATTAATTCCACTTCTCATAATGCTTAATTAATATCTAATGAACATTTTTTCACATACTCAAAATATAAATATATTTTGATATATGAAAATGTGCCTCTTAACTTAACCAGATGCCAAAAGCCAACTTTTGGCCATATTTTTGTGCAGCGCATAAACGTTTATTAGCGCCCAGGGCTTGGTGGCATAGCCAAACATAGACTAGAACCTCCAGCTCCTGCTCCTGCTCCTGCTCCTCATCCACCATCCACCTCATCCTCCCCACCAGTTAGCCATGTTAGCGACCACAAAGCCCATGGCTAAATCATATTATGGGGCGTCCTGCGCTCGGCCACCGGCTTAACGCCCTGGAGGAGCGTTTTAACTCCTCCTGCCCACCGCCTCCTGTTCGCTCGTTCCATTTGTGTGTTTGGTTTTGGTTGCAATGGAAAAAGTGTCAGTCAAGTATTCCAGGCGGATGCGCCAGTTGAGCGGGGACAGGAGCTGGGGCTGGAGCTGGGGATGGGACAGGAGTCCGGAATAAATGTAAGCGGAATGCGCGAACAACTCCAAATGCCACTCAAAAGCCGCAATGCAGACACGCAGAATTATGCTTTAGGTGATTAACATATTCCAAAATGGCATATTTAGAGGAGAAAAGTTTCATATTTTCATACGAAATTTAAATAAATACATAATTCGAGTTGGTATATGGTAAATTTCTATCAAAATGTTAATCTGAAATGCTTTATTTATAATAATCATCAAGAGCTTAAACAAATGAAAATATAATAAAGATAAAACTACTTATGTATATAGGGGGATCTAAACTAACTTAACGAATTTAAAGTTTATACACCCTTGCAGTTTCAATCGAATTATAGGATCGAATCGGAAATTGATCAAAACTATATTCGCAATCTTTGAATCGATATTCATTTGTTATTTTTATATATGCAAGTTTTAAAAAATTAAATTTTAGCTTGACATAGCTAGATCGATTGGATTTTTGATGCTGATCAAGAATATGTATGATTTATAGGGTCGGAAATGACTCCTTCACTTTCTTTTAAGCTTCTGACTGCAGGTGCAATACCATTTTTTAATCGATATTAACTCTATTTTTATATGAAAATTGTACGAAAAATCAAAATTTAAAAAACTCATGGCTAAGCCTAAAAAGCATTAATTTTAATTTAGAAAACTGCGACATGCAAGTTATTATTAGGCTAATAAATCTGCATACTTCGTTCGAAAAGTAAAAAAAATTAAAATTTGTTGATAATTCTAACGATGTAAATCCTTAAAAAAATTTGAAAAAAATGGCAAAATGTATTATCTTTCTTACATGCCCAGAAAGATTTGCCTTTTGATCTTGATCAAGAATAATTAAGATTTATAGGGTCGGAAACTATTTGTTTAAGCGTTACAAGCTTTGGACTGAAATTATAATACCCTGGAAGGGTATACGAATATTTTATAATATATATTTTGATTATATTATCTATTTCTCCCAAGTGCAAAAGGCACGTGCTGTTTCTGGCCTAGAGCCTCGTCCCATTTTCGCTCTGTTTCCCCATCAAAGCCAAAGTCCATCCTGCAATCAATTTACAAATTTGCTGTGACCTGTGACCCTCCTCCGTCCCCTGTCTCCCGTCAACTGTCACTCCGGTTTCATTTTCATTTGCACGGCCCACCGACGAGAGTTGGAGACGAGTCCCGCTTACCTCCTCCTGTGGTAATATTTAAATTCCTGATGCCATTTACACATGTTCAACATGACATAATCGCCTCTGAAATTATTTAGAAAGAAAGTGTGTGTTTGGTTTGGGGGACTGCCCCCGGATACCGGAAACTGGCCGAAAAATCGGAACTTGGACATAAACATTGGCAGGCGGCAGGCGGTGGGAGAAGGGCGACGCGGAGAAGGGGGACCGACCGACACACAACATATATAGGAGCACATTCCAAGTCTCTGCTCGGGGCCAGAAAATTACATCTCAGGGATTTGATAATAAACTAATTTTCGCTTGGCTTCCCCATCTGCCAGAGGCGGCGGCGGCGGCTTTCTCTTTTATTCATGAATACGCAATTAGTGTGCAAATTTAAGTGTTTCTCTTGATGTGTATATGTGTGTCCGTTTCTCTCTGCTATTTATATTTCATCTATTATTAAAACTAAATGCATTCATTCATTCATTCCTCCCTCCCGCCCAAGTAAAATATTCAATTTCTACTCGGCTCGGCTTTCAATGCATATCGCTTGTGACATTTTCAGCTAGGCTTGGCATTGGCATTTGGCCAATTTCCCAGCGAGTTGCCAGCGAATGTGTAGGCAATTATTGTTCAATTTTCAACTCCAAACATGCTCGTGTTTTTTCTATATCGGGGGGTCATAACATAAATTTCCATTCTTTGTCAAACAACAATTTTATTTGGCATTTTTTCGGTGACGACAAACCTTTTTTTTGTCGAGAGAATCCGCTTTCCCCGCTTGGCATTGTAAGCGCGCTAATCTGAAGTGGCTTTTTCATGTAATTAATTTGTTAACACAGAGTTGCTAATTGAAAGTCAATAAGCTAAGGTGTTAATTGGGGCAAAGAATAATTGATGGGACTGACTGACTGTTAAATAAAAGTTTCAATTGGACATAGGGATATAATGCAACTAATTAAATGCTCGTCGAAGAAGTCCTAGTTAATTACGTTGAGATTTATCGCTAATTTATGGCTAAAGTCAGGGAAGTTTTATATTTTATATTTTTTTTGTGAGCACTTAAAACTTGGCGAATTATATTCAATAAGAGGGAGAAAAGTTGTTTGGTCAGGAGTATAAAAACAAAGTTTAACAAAACCTACACATTGTCGGGTACAAATATGTTGTTTTTTATACGAAATATCTTACATTAGATAAAGCAGAATATCATTTATTGAACCATATTGTCGCAGCGTTAGAAATATATTTATATAAAGTCAAATATCTATATTTTCTGCCATTCCTAGCTTCCCCTTGAAAATTCAGTATTCAATTATGCCTAGTGCTCTTAACCTTTTAACAAATCCATTGACGTTTCCACTTGAGATGATTGAAGAAAACGTTCCCCAGTTTAATTGTCCATATCTTATGTCTGTCATATAATTTGTGATACCTTATCGGCAAGCAGCTCTGCATTCCATGCCCAACTTTCATTCGTTTCGGCGGGAGAGTGTTGGGTCCCCCGAGGCATAAACATTTTGACTAATTGGCGTTACAACTCAATTGAAAATGCATAGGAGCCCACTCACGGACGGACGGACGGGCGGACTCGTGCTGGTCTAATAACCGAGGAGGGGCTTATAATTTCAAAGATTAAAGTAATCCCACCGACTAACTAATTGGCTTTGCTTCTCCACTCTTTGCAGTTCTTCACACCTCGGCGAGTTTAGCGTTAAACGAAAGCTGGGATCCAGACGTCAGGTGAGTGCAATGAATGGCCATATATCATCGGTAACATATTTTCCAACTATTTGCGTTTCTCGATCCGCAGAGACGACATGGAGATGATGTTGAATAAAATAGTTCCCGAAGGCTTGCCCTACAGGCACTCGTGCGAAGGTCCCGACGATATGGTGAGTCCTGATTCGGAATGTATGGGTATCGAGGGGAAGAGCCACAGAAATATTCCCATCAGTATGATATTAAAACAAGAAAGAAAGCTAACTTCGGTACGCCGAAGTTTGTATACTCTTCCAGATTGAAATTGGAGCACTAGGAATTAAAACAATATGAATTATATATATGTTAAAAAACAATAAAGTAATGCCTGCTTTAATATCATTCACTTATAAATGTTATATTTACATTAACTTTTAAAAATCGTTTGTATGGCAGCTGATAATATAGTAGTCCGATTTTCATTTAATTTTACACAAAATTTAAGATTAACAAATAATGGCTATATTCCAATTTTGATAAAAATCTGTTGAAAACTGTAAAAGTTATTTTTTTCTTAAAATTTTCCGATTGTTCCTATGGCAGATATTTATATGTATATATATAGTCCACCGATTTGCCATGCTCCGACTAATACACTAGTAAAATTATATAGAAGAATAATTCCATAGTTTCATTCAAATAGCTTAAAATTGTTCCAAAACAAATATCGCGCATCTGTGCATATAATTCCCAACTTGTTCTAACATACCCGGAACGAAGTGACTTCTGCCGGCCAAGTCTCAGAAATGTGTTGCGTTACAAAAGTTGCAAGTCATGTTTATTAGTGTTCAAAGTTAGTAACTGATCATACATACTTATTTGTCATGGATACTAATGATCATAGTTACTTACTCGTCATAGATAATTACTGATCATAGTTACTTACCTGTCATAGATGCTTACTTTCCAGAGTTACTTACTTCTCATAGTTAATTACTGATCATAGTTCTATAAATCGTCCGATTGTTCCTATGTCAGCTATATATATGTATACATATAGTCCACCGATTCGCTATGCTCCGATTTATATACTAGTAAAATTATACAGAAGAATAACTCCATAGTTTCATTCAAATAGCTTAAATTTGTTCCAAAACAAATCTCACACATATGAGCATATAATTCCCAACTGGTTCTAACATCCCCGGAACGAAGTGGCTTCTGCTGGCCAAGTCTCAGATATGTGTTGTGTTACAAAAGTTGCAAGTCATGTTTATTAGTGTTCAAAGTTAGTAACTGATCATACATACTTATTTGTCATGGATACTAATGATCATAGTTACTTACTCGTCATAGATAATTACTGATCATAGTTACTTACCTGTCATAGATGCTTACTTTCCAGAGTTACTTACTTCTCATAGTTAATTACTGATCATAGTTCTATAAATCGTCCGATTGTTCCTATGGCAGATATTTATATGTATATATATAGTCCACCGATTTGCCATGCTCCGACTAATACACTAGTAAAATTATATAGAAGAATAATTCCATAGTTTCATTCAAATAGCTTAAAATTGTTCCAAAACAAATATCGCGCATCTGTGCATATAATTCCCAACTTGTTCTAACATACCCGGAACGAAGTGACTTCTGCCGGCCAAGTCTCAGAAATGTGTTGCGTTACAAAAGTTGCAAGTCATTGTTTATTAGTGTTCAAAGTTAGTAACTGATCATAATTAGTTACTGGTCATAGATACTTATGATATAGTTACTGTTCATAGTTACATTCTGCTCATAGTTAATTACTGACCATCGTTACTTACTGATTACTACTACTTACTAGTCATAGATACTTACTGGTCATAGTTAATTACTGATCATAGTAACCTTCAGTTAAAAGATACTTACTGATCCTCTACTGAACCGTTTCTCTGGCAGTTATATTATATAATATTCCGGTTTTGATAAAATTAAAAACGAAATTCCATATTAATAAAAGATAGCTTAAAATCAAATGAGATAAAAATATGTTAAAAACTGTAAAGTTATAATATTTTTTCTAAAAATTTTCCGATCGTTCCTATGGCAGCTATATACTACCTAAATCTTTAAAACTAATCTATTTATATTTCTTTTTCAACAGCCTGCGCACGTGAAGGCCTGCTTCTTGGGCAGCTCCCTGACAATCCCGATCACAGACGGCAAGCTATCGCTGGGCACGTGGCAGGGCGTGTGGCTGTGCGAGCACCGCGACCAGGCCGGCTCCCGGAAGCTGGTGATCACACTGACGGGCTGTCCCCGCGAACAGGCCCGCAGTCCGCTGTCCCCCGTCTCGCCGATCGCCAGCACGTCCAGTTAGGGGCGGCCTCGCTCCACCCGCGACAGCCGGTAATCGCGGGGGAGCGACAATAATGCCATCATTTCGTCGAGGCGGCTGATATTGCAAAAGAACTTGGCTAGAGCGACGGCTCAGCAGCGGGCGGCGGCAGTGATTGCGGCCGGACGGGGCCTGGAGGCGACATATTCAGCGGCGGTGCCGCCGAATATACCAGGTGTTGAGACAAAGACCGGACGCCTGTTGCTGCGCCAGCAGCTGCATCTCAATCTCAATTTGAATGTGCAGGAGACGCTGCGCGATGGCGTTGATATCGATGATGTGGACGAGGATGTCGGCGAGGATGATGATGAGGATGACAACAACCTAGAAACCGTCACAACAGTGCCTCAAACCAATGAACAACTTAACGCTAAGGTCAACGTAACCACAACAACAACAACAACAACAGCATCCAGTTCATCATCAGCAGCAGCAGCTGGAGCAACCAGCGCATTAGCCAAGTTCAATCGCATCATAGACTCCACGCTGGAGAGGCCAGCAGCTGCATTAGCAGCGGTGGACTACGACTACTCCGTTCTGCCGCAGCTGAGCAGTGCAACGCTACAGCAGCGCTTCAACCTGGCCTATCCGGAGCTAGTGAGTCAACATGATGCGATCAGCAGCCTCAAGGGATCCCGAGATTAGTAGATCGTGGCTCGGTGGCCGTTGCCAGCACACCATTAACATTGCAAGCACCCAGAAATCCAGCAACTGCCACAGAGGAGCAGCAGGAGAAGGAGCAGGATCCCCAGGACGACGACGACGACGATGATCATCCCCACCACGACGAGGATAATCAAATGAAACGAAATGATGTGCATTATTTGTTGAAACAGTTGAATAGTTTTAGTGATATTGAAGAAATAGAAATTGTTGATATGAAGCAAAGACCACAGCGGCCGCAGCCAATGGCCTCCAGTTCACTGGCAACGATGGTGCTGCCCACAGCAGCTGCCTCGGCGGCCTCACCCACGTCGCAGTCGCATCGGCTGGTTCAGAGATCTGGCGACAGCTCGCTCGTCCTGCCCAACCAGTTCGATGACTATCTGTTCGAGTCCTGCCACTATTTGGAGACAAACTACTTTGCCGCCACCTATCGCACTGCCATGGTCGAGAGCAGCTCTCACGAGTTTAGGCCCTCGACCAACAGCAGCTCGAACAGCTGCTTCGAGCTGCACGAGATGGAGCCGCCCAGTGTCATATGCAAGGCGGGGGCGCCGCCACCGCGTTACCAGTTCGAGTATCAGGCGGAGACGCGTCTAACCACCAGTGGGGTACAGACAGAGCTCACTGTGGAGTCGCTGGCCAAGCTGAGCAAGAGCAGCAGCAGCAGCAGCTCTCCGCGTGCTCCGCCCTTCTTCCGATGCTGCTACACGCCCATCGACCGGTGGCGGGAGCGAAGGCAGCAGCAGAAGCAGAGCTCCTCGGGCACTGCTCAGCCGCCGAAAGATGTCTGACCCTGGGCGTGGCCAAAGCCACTCGAAGATGTAGGAGGAGATCCAACATGTGCCTGGCTAACTTAATGCGGGGATGCAAATCGTAGGAGCACAAAGTTTTAGTTCGATTACTAAGAAAATTATGTATGCCTTAGAAAGAAAAGTGAGGGTACTTCCGAAATCTGTAAAGATTTGAAATCTGTTGGTTGTCTGGTGGTCATAAGGTCCTGGAAAGATTCCATAAGGGATTTTCAATGAATAGTCGACCGACTTATCCCACTTGAAAATACTGATATTAGAAATTTTGAATCTATAGAGATTTTTGGAAGATTTTTTAAAGATCTTGGGAGTTATTGAGATTTTGAATCAAATTTAAGGAGAAATAGTAAGCAAGCTCAAATTGACTTGGTTTACACTAAGACACTGATCGAATTTTTAGGGAGACTTTAAATCAAATTTATGCAGAAATAGTGAGCACGCTTAAATTTTAAATACTTTTCTATCGGAAATCTTACTTTATATTTAAATGAATTAATAACGAAACCCGTTTGCATCCCTGTTATTTCTTTGGTCGCTGTTCTCATTTGCGATATCAACAAGAGATTCCATTTCGATCTACAGTCGATACACACGAATCACCAGGAAAGCCCTTTCTAATCATTCCAAGAGGAGTTCATCATTATTGTACAATTTATTATAAAGCTAACAAAATAAACTTAAAACAGCCTCAACTATATGAGAAAAAAATTTTGTATAAACACACAATTACACCACAGAGTCCACACAAAAAGTTAATTTTCGGAGATTTGTAAAGAAATTAAATACTGGAACACCTAAGAGAAAGCAATTGTTACATCAATTACAACATACACACATAATTTTTGTTGATTTATCATTTAAGCTTATAAGGAATTGTTATTTAGAGCACAATACATATATGGATACAAAAGATCGGGAATGCGAAGCGATTCAAGAGCAATATTAGTTTTTAAAATCAGTTCTTCTTCGGGTCTGTCAATTGTTTTGTTGAAAACATATATAAATCAAATCAAAAATATATATCACTAACCTAATGCTTTGGTTCAATGGAAAATAAATATATACTTCAAATTGGAACATATTACACTCACGAAAAAAAAACAAACTGAATTTATTTCGCCACAAAAAAGCAAACAAATGCCTTTACCAAAGACAATATAATTTATAAGATGCTAACGTGCATATATTTTTTCTGGCTTTGCAATAAAAAGATAGCACAGAGAAAAACAAAATTATCGAGTGTAAAAAAGTTACATGCCGTTACGCATCTTGTTTATTATATGGTCTTTGCCTTACATTGCCCACACGTCGTACACTAGAAGAAAGATAGTAGCCCAAGAAGAATGAATGGTACACACACAACCAATGTTAGTCAATAAAACGCTGCTGAGCGAAGTGAACTAATTTATTTAAAACAAATATATAATATATCAACATGTTGATTATGTTAATCATTAACGAACGACATAACATAACACATAAGTTGTTAACGTTAACAGAAAACAGAAGATGCTAAGAACGTTAGAAAAATTAACCTATATTGTTGTATGTTTTATTCAAAGTGCACGAAATTAAATGAAGGAAAAACCAAACATTAACGTATGTAATAGCTAAAATGAAATTTTTGTAAACTTTTTGATATGTGATGATGATGATGATTTGGATATAAAAATTAGAGCCACGAGAAAAGCGTTATTACCTTTAACCTTAGACATAGATATTTAAACTAATTACAAGGAAAACCCAAGAGTAGAGCTAAAATGTCGAGTAAAAGCTAGCTAAATTCTAAGAAGGAAGGAGCAGGAGATGCATCATCAGTCGGCCAGTTGTTATGCAATAATAGTAGCACCAATCCAGGGTTCCTCTCGATCCAAGGAACTGTTATTAGCAATATCGAATTATTGAATTCACACATGGCAATTCAATTGTATTTAACAGTGGATAATTGATAATTCGGAATAGAGAAAATGCATTGTGTAGGAGCCTAGTTAAAGAGAAGCCCCAAACAACCCAAAACCCTGACATCCACAGACCCTGAATCCCCAAAAGCGAGACATACTAAAGTGTAACTAAGCAAGTAAGTAGAAAAGGATATTCAAATTGTAAATAGGACCTTTCATTTACAATATATTCGTATTTTAATTCGTTCGTTTCAATTCCGATTCTGAAATTATGCGTTATCCATGGAAGATATAGAAACGAAAATACATACATATTACCGACAAAAGGAAACGACGAGTAATCGTAATCACACACGGAAAAGCTTTAATTAATTTAATTACAACAAAAGTAAAATCATATGAATGTACTACAATTATTGTAATAATCATTTTTGATATCATTCCATTGTAGATACCTATTTGAGCCAGCAAGTAATTAATTAATTAATTAATTATCTTCATAGCTAAGCCCGCTAAGAGTCGTCAATGTCGCCTAATGTGAGTTATATATACATAATATATATATATATATATTTCGCATCAGATTATACAACAAACAGAGCGTCATTAGCTGTAAAACCAAACAACTAATTAAACAAACACAGAAAACAAAGGAAGCCTAGGAAAACACCCAGAAGCCGAAACCAAAACACTTAAGACACACACTCCACACACCACACACACATTTGAATACTAAGCTTTTATAAAACTATTTAACGAAATATATATATACATATATATATATACTATGGAAAATAATAATCCTGCCAAGTAACATTCGAAATACCTGCTTTGAAGAAGACACACCCGCTTTTGCTAAGAAAAACGAAAACAAAAACAAAAACGAAAGAAACCAAACAAAAAGATTTAATAAATGAAAGAATTCTGAATTCCGAAGAGTTCGAAAATTTAGAAGAATGAAAGAAGACACACTACCGCTAAATACGATTTTTATACTTTCGATATAATGATTTTTTATACTAAAAAAAGAGAAAACGTAAAAACAGAAAACTCTTTGAAACGAGCCAGGTGTTGAGGACTTTTTCGGGGTATCGCTTTGATTTTTGAGTCAGAAGAAAAGCTACTATATATATATATATATATATATATAATATTCAGACGTTATATATGTATTTGTATGTATGTGAGAGGAAACCCTAAAACTGCAACTATGGAACGAGAGCACAAATTTTGTTGAACAAAAAAGACAAGAAACAATGAAGAATTGTAAACCAGAAATCAAATACTAAAAAATAAAAAATAACCTTTTTTATGTCCAACTCTCCACACACCCACACACACAAACACAAGACATTACAGCAACATCAAATCAAATATATACTAAATATATAAAAATTGTATGTATATATTTAGCTAAACGAGTACATAAACAAACAAACAACCCGCACAAATTGACATCATGAAAATACCAACTAAAATATGCTTTGTAAGCCCATAAATTAACAAAAATACAAAAAAAAAAGCCAGCAAGCAACGAGATTTCTAGCAAAAAATGTCCACAAACTTAGAGCCTGCGACAGCGAAACAATTTGTAAATATTATAAACTTCTTGATTTTATCACAAAAACAAAACAAACACGAACACTAGAATCATTTTGAGAACCTTAGTTTTATCTCCTAACTGTTGCGACACATACTTTTTCTATATCTATCCAGAGATATCGGATATGCATACTTTAAACCAAAATGAACAGAGAATGTCAACTACAATAAAATTAGCAAAATATAAAAAAAAAATACAACAAAAAAAGGCAAAAGACGGAAGGTAATTAAATATTAGTGCAATAATAAACAACAAATTATTCGGTATATAATTAAAAATGGAAATACATCTAAGAGTAAACGCTTTGTAAAATAAATATAAACAATTTATTAAATGAAAAAAGGGAAAACAATAAAAAAAAACCAAGAGATGAAAAGAACACTATTGAGTAATAAATAAAGCGTTATGCATTGGACATTGACACACGTGATTCGAATATCTCATCTTATTAAGCATAAATCAATAAGATAACGAATAAAGAAATAAAAATTCAAGAAAATCCAAAACAGAGATCCTTCTCCGTTCTCCAAGGTTTTTGACCTACTTATAGCTGCATTCCATTGCAACTAATTATAGAGCATCACTTACACCAACGAATTACATTTATTTAACATTTAAAGATTGACATTGGTTTCACAGACACTACTTTATACTTTATACTTAAACGAATAGAACAGGAAACTGCCCGCTACGGCTGCTGCAGGACAGTGCGCACGTACTTGAGGACATCGGCATGGGCCAGAATCTTCATGTGGTCGACGCCCTGGAGCGCCAGAGTATTGATATGAGAGCTGCTATATCCCGACCAGTATTGACAGGCTCGCAGAGAGCGCTGATTGACTGTGCCATCGCCGAGGCCCATGATAAGTTTCGGTGTCTCTGACGAGATATCCGACTTTTTGTACTGCAATCTGTTGTTACTTGTTAGCTTTTCAATCGGCATAGAAATACAAGTGAAACTCACCTCTCGACCGTATCGATACCATCCCCGTACAAGCAATGCAACTCCACATCCGGCGGACTAAAGTTCTGCGTGTATCGCATCGTATCCTTGCGCATTTCCCATCCAGTCATGTAATCAATATCGAAAAAGAATTCTTCGAGCTGTGCCATCGTATAGTTTCTGCTCGGCGTCATGGCCAGCACCTCGGAAGGCTTCCAGAACAGCGGTGATGGCAGTAGCCAGGCGGTCGAAGGATGTGTTATCTGCTCAGCTTTGAGGATTTTGGCACTCAAAGCAAAGGAGTCAAGATCATCGCCCATGGCAAACACCTTTACCGCCTTGATACTGCCCGCCCAGGCGCCCGCCAAGCTGATCTGCCGCCTAACATATTTGTTTTTCCACGCGAACGTCTGCTCCTGCAGGAAGACTAGTGTCATGGGGCTGCCCATGCTGTGCGTTATGAAGGTGACGGCCGACTGGTTGTTGGCCTCGTAGGTGTCCTCCACCAATTGCTTGAGATCGATGAAGAATTGCTTGTTTTCATCTGTAATTTAAAGTTTTTGTAGTGATAATTTTCATTAAGATTACGAAATTAATGAGGATCTCCCAAAGTAGCTTTTATAAAATAAAATATTGTTAATAGGTGACTTACTCGGCGCCTTGCGGAAATCGTAGGGTGCTCCATGGATATTCACCCGGCGCACATATCCCATATCCACCAGAACATTGGCTATATCTTTAAAGTAGGCCCCAGCACTGTTCCTAGTGGGATCGATCCACTCCACTACCTCGGGATCGCCCCAACCAGGAATCCTGGTCTCAACCCCGGGGGTATTGTGAGTCGTTCTCGTGGTCTTGTCATAGTACAACTTGACGTTGTCTATCCAGCAGTAAACCATAGGTATAACAAGCTGTTCTAGGTCCAGCCACAGATTGTACCAGTCGTGGGTCTTCTCGCACACAAAGTACGGAGAATTGGCCTTGTTCAGCCGGGCATCCAGCTGGGAGCCGCCGTCGCCAGGAACTGAAATATAGACAAGAGGAACCTTAGCCCAATTTGTGACCTTGAATGGAGTATTGATTTTTTGTCTTACCGAAAATCACGGGCGAGAGCTTGGGCTCTGGTGGCGGGGGCGGTGGCGGAGGAGGAGTAATGGCCTTGTGCTTTTTAACAAACGGCCAGGGCCAAAAACAGTCTCCCAGGCCCAAGAAAGTGGCCAGGATCAGCAGCACCAGAAATATCCCAGAGTTGAGCCTCATTGTGCGAAGTGTGTTGTGCGTTTGCAGGCAAACAAAGCCGGAGTGACGCCTGACGAAAGGTTATCGGATCGCGCCACTCGCTGGACACCAGATAAAGGTCTCAGACATAAACAAGTGAATCACAGTCCTACTGCCTGCTGCCCAGCTTTGTATCAAATTTGCATTTACAGTTCGCTTGTCTCTGCGCAGTGTGTCAGTCAGCTGAGATATGACCTTTGCACGTATCTCTTTATTGCGGAACTCCGGGGCAGCAAGTGGTTTAATCGCATTGCATTTGCCCCACGCGGCGAGGACGTCACGGGTGCCGTTTAATGTTTAAACAAAGAAACTGTTTTCGTAAACATGTTGTTGTTATTTTTCCTTATCTCTTTATTTCGCAGTTTGTTATGGTCAGAGATTCTAGCTAGAGGTGGCAAATTGTTTTTAATTCTTGAATCGAATATTCGATTTTACCCGAGATATTTATGTAAATTAAAATAAAATGTATTGACTCAATCCTGTAAAACGGGTACAAAGAAATATTTAAAAAAAAGTATCCTTGACTTTTAAATCATTTTAATTTGAGCGTTTGAAGAAACTTGTTATTTGAGAAAATTATTCCAATAAGAATTAAAAGAACTCCCTTTACCAACTAATTATCGATAGTAGTTGCTCAATTTTTAGCCCACCACTAGTAAAGCGACCGGCAAATAAAATTGTTTTTAAGTTATTATTTTTAAGTATAGTACAGCAAAAATCAAACAGATCAATATGCAGGATTTCTTTAGCGTGCTGCTGCCGGACGCGAAGAAGGAGCTGCGCCGCGGCATTATCGAGTGCTCGAAGAGGGGCCTACTGCACAGCACCAAGTGGCTGGCGGAGATGCATCACGGGCTCTGCGATGTGCACATCGACAATGAGCCGCCGGACAACGACCGGACCTTCAGCGATTGCCAGCTGGAGGGCATTGCGCCGGCGGAGTACAGCGACTACTTTCTGGCCAAGAGCTACTACGATGTACGGGAGTACGACCGAGCGGCCCATGCGGTCCGGAATTGTGAGTCGAGTGTGCCACGCTTCCTCCACTTCTACGCAACATACATGGCGCGCGAGAAGCGCCGCTTGGACTCTACCACCGATCAGGCAAATCTCACCGAGCCAAATCAGATGCGGGATCTCGCCGATCTGCTGTCCACGCTGCGCACGGAGTACGGCAAGAGTCGCTTGGATGGCTACGGGATATATCTGTATGGCGTGGTCTTAAAAGCCCTGAATCTCAACCATGCGGCGGAGCAGATGCTAATCCAGGCCATCCGACTAGTGCCGATGCTGTGGGGCGCTTACCTGGAACTCTCGCCGCTTATCATGGAGAAGCAGAAGCTGCTAAGCCTGCAGCTTGGCGGTCATTGGATGCGGCACTTCTTTATGGCACACACCTACCTCGAGCTGTACCTAAACGATGATGGATTGAAAATCTACGAGGATTTACAGGCGTCGGGCTTTGGGAAGAGCATCTACCTCATCGCCCAGATGGCATTGGTCTATCACAACAAGCGGGATGTGGACAAGGCCATCGAGTTGTACCAGAACCTGCTGGAAAGTGATCCCTATCGCCTGGACAACGTGGACACCTACTCCAACCTGCTGTTCGTCAAGGAGATGAAGACAGAGATGGCCCAGTTGGCGCACAAGGCCGTCAGCATCAACAAGTATCGACCGGAGACGTGCTGTGTGATTGGCAACTACTACAGTATACGATGCGATCACCAGGTAGCCATTTCCTACTTCCAGCGCGCCCTCAAGCTGAATCCCAAGTATCTGGCGGCCTGGACACTAATGGGTCATGAGTTCATGGAACTAAAGAATACGAATGCTGCGATTCAGAGTTACCGCAAGGCGGTGGAGGTCAACAAGCGGGACTATCGGGCCTGGTATGGCCTCGGACAGGCCTACGAGATCATCAAGATGCACTACTACAGCCTGTACTACTTTAAGATAGCCCACCAGCTGCGGCCCTACGACTCCCGAATGCTTGTGGCTCTGGGCGAGACATACGAGAAGCTGGACAAGTGCGAGAACGCGGTGAAGTGCTACTGGAAGGCTATAGATGTGGGCGACATCGAGGGCATTGCCATGTACAAGCTGGCCAATCTGCACGAGAAGCTGGGCGACCATGAGACGGCAGTCCATTGCTACATCATGTACTGCGAGGACGAGCGGGCGGCTACCGACAAGCAGAGCCTGTATCAGGGCTTCATCACTCTGGCCAACTACTATGAGAAGAAGGGCGACTATGACAGGGCTGCCTTTTACGCCTACAAGTGTCTGGACTCGGATGATGTGAGTCTCTTGGTCTTAGGTAACACAAAAAGATAATCGAGTTTCCCTGTTTTCCAGCGGAAGACGGAGGCCAAGAACTTGCTAAAGACCATCGACTGGAAGCGGGAAGGTCAGAAAAAAACGGCCAAACCCACCCCTGCCGTTGTGGCTAATGCGGAGACAAGCTCCGAGGATGAGATGGAGTGGGAGCTGCCAGACGTTCGAAGCCGCGTAGCAGCCACCACGACCACGACCACGACATCATCAGTCCAAGCAGCAGCAGCTGTAGCAGGGCCAAGTAGTTCCACGAGTAGTCTGCGTCCAGGTCGAACCTTAGCTGAGGGCATGCGCCGATCGCAGTCTGGCGCCAAGACCAGCCACACACCAACCGCAGACAGTAGTAGCACTTCCATTCCAACAGTAGTGGTGGAGGGAACGCCAAGCACGTCTGCTGGCGCTGCCGCGAATCCGCAAACGGATCAACCAGGCTCGGATGAGGCCAGTTCCATGGAAATATCCAGTGTGTCCATCGATTAGTTGTTTTCAAAGTCACGCAGCTATTGTAAAAATTCCTTATTGTTTTATGAATTATAGTTTTTTGGAAGTCAAGTAAATAACTAACGAATTTAGTGTGGAATTTCATTCCAGAAATTCGGCATGAACGTTAAACCGCTTTGAGAACCATTTAATTTTTAATGTAAAAATTTGTTTGTTTTTTTTTAAATTTGAATATCGTTTTTGGGGTAAGAGTTTATTAACCAATTTTAAAATTACAAAGTGATTTCATTTTTGTTTTTATATCATATATATAATCTTCTTTGAAGAAACTAGTTCAAGCTTTTAAAATGTATTTGATCCATTGATAATCTCTCCGATTTACCAAATATCTTTACTAATTTCAAAACTCCTTGATCCATTGGGCTATAATGGCCGCCTCCTTCTGCCTAGCATCACGCACCGAAGGCGGATCAGCGGGATCGGAGTGACGCAGATCCAAATGATGGGCGCCCTCCGGTAGGATGATGACAAACACCCTGTCATTCGGCGCCTGGAGGACACCGCCGCCACTCCAGGGATCCAACAGCCCATTACTAAATATTATATTCGTGACCGCCTCGATATTTCTTCCGCCATAGCGCAGAATAATATCGTATGGCTTGGGTGTCAGGCGGTACTTCTTGTAGCATTTCTCGGCGAACTCCTTGAAGTTCCATGTGGAGGGACGGAACATTGTCTCGGTCCCGTTGGAGCAGAAGGGCATCACCATCTGGTTGCAGGTCTGTATGTCCCAACCTGAGTCATCGGCGCTGGAGCTAACAGAAGTATTCAGACACTTGGCCGAGCCCGTGTAGTTGGTGTACACAGCCAGGGCACTGGCCATGGCATGTAGCAGATCGCCGTCCGTAGGATGCAAATCCTTCAGGTAGAAACACACCTGGCGCACCGGATAGGCTGGCAATGGGGCCAGGAAGCTGCTGTTGTACGGATAGTTGACCATGGCCAGGTTGCTGTAGACCTCCTCGACGTAATCGAGAAACTGTTTCAGATCGCCATCGGTCTTTAGTGGCGTGCAGAGATTAAATGCGTCCGATATCTGCTTCTTGCCAGCGTCATTTCCGCCCAGCGATTCGAAGAGTTTCCACGACTTGGCAATGTTCACGGTACAGTTGCCATTATAGGCATTTTGGAAGACAGAAGTCGCAATCCTGTAGAAGATGTCGCAGTCGGTGATGCCGGGAAACTGCAAAATAGGGGCCGAGGCGGCTAGAGCTCCGTGCACCAAGTGAGGGTACTTCATTCTGAACCAGGCGGCCAGCATGCCGCCGTAGGATCCCCCGAAGGCCACCACCGGCATCTGTCGATCGTTCCTTAAGAAGGTGATCAGCATGGCGTAATCCTCCAGCGTTTGCTCCACCGTAAAATAGGCCAGATGCTCCGGCATGCTGCTGTTGAAGGTGGAACTTCCAAAGGGCAAGGACTTTCCATAATACCTATGCTCCGCGAAGATCACCAGAGCCCGCTGCAGCTCCGCTTGCTCCCAAACAAATCCGGTATTCTGGGCGAACAGTTCGATGTCCCCCTCATTTCCGGTGTAAAAAAAGATCGGCGTACGGCCATTGCTCTTGTCCACGAACGAGTCGTTGTACAGATACCGGATATTGAAGGTGGCGTTGATCAGGAAGCTGAAGTGATCCAGCGGCACTTGGAACTCCTTAATCTCGTACTGGAAGCGCTTCTCCTCCGCCGCCCCCTGGCATCCAGCGATCAGTAGGATCAGTAGGATCCCCAAAACTGCAGATATTGCACCTTGCTCCCTCATTTTGCGGGTGATCAGATTAAATCGGATGAGAAAATACGAGTGACGCACTGGAGGGCGGTTCAAAACACAGTTTCCTCTGTTCTTTATCTCTAAGCCGGACTTTTATATTATACTTGAAGCGCAGTGTTACCAGCTGACTTCGAAAGCTACGTTTTCCAAGCTTCAATAAGAGAAATGTATGGCGGGAAATTAAAATATATATATAAATGGTCTTATTTTGTTTTCAAATATGAGTATATTTATGTTATAATGAACTCTGATAATCAATATTTAACGGTTTTAAAACAAATTGTTTATTTTGAAAAGATGCAGTGTGCTCGCCAGGTTTTCCGTTTAGAATGCTAAAAAGTTTGTCAGAAAACATTGCTGTTACCAGACTGGCCGGGAAAATTTTTACTTTCCGTCATTTTTCACTCTCGACGTGCCTTGTAGCATATTAAAAAATCGAATGAAGTGTGGAGCCCTAGTGGGAATAGGGGCTTATCAAATTGTTTTCTGAGAAACGCCCGAAAATCCGCTCCTGTAAACCACAGTAAAAAGGCCTAAATGAAACTTGGCGTTGCCAGACTTTGCGATACATTCAATGTGCGAACAAGAAGACGAAAATCAGCTGTTTTTTGTTTTGGTCCAGAAAATTTGAGAAATTTTTGATAATGATTAGAAAACTTGTTTTTAACGCGAAAGTTGTATTAAGACAGCAACCCAAAGTGAGTACGGACCAATTATTATAAATTACGTTTCCAAAACGTTAATAATTTTGCAGTTTCATCATGTAAAGCACCTAGCAACCAAAGCCGAAAATCCAAAAATTGTGCAACTGGAACAGATTCACATAGATGAAGCCGTCAAGCTGGAGCCCACTCTGTCCATATTCACACCCGAGGTGTGGCGACGTGCACATGAAACCTTTCAGAATCACGGCTTAGAGACGGTAAACTTTCTGAGGATTGTTACTGGAAATCCGGGCGTTCTAAAGCGAACGCCAGACAGGATAATCAGCAGCTTGGAGATCTGGCGAGCCTGTCAATTTGGCGAGAACCTTCTCCACCTGCTTCTGACAAAGTATCCCGAGCTGCTGGACGTCAGCGACTCCCACCAGCTACTCTCGCACATTGGTTTCCTGAAGAGTAGAGTCTCCACAAGCAAGAATGTGTGGAAGTTGCTGATGAACAGCCCGGATGTGATAGCCCAACCAGAGGAAGTCGTCGAGGAGAAGCTGAATCTTATGGTGGATGTAATGCGCATTGAAGTCCCCGAAATTGTCAAGTCCTGTGCCCTGACCCTGCCATTCGAAAAGCTGCGTTGCCGCCACGCTTTCCTTTTGCGATTGGGTTTGTTCAAGCCGCGTCCGCTAAAGGCAGATCCCGATGAGCCCACGACAAACCACAAGCTCTACCAGATTACGGACACTTCGGAAAAGACCTTTGCAACAAAAATCTGTCACGTAACTCTGCCGGAGTTCGAGGCTTTCAAGGAACTGTACGCGAAAGAGCTGGAGGGAAAGTCCAGGCGGTCCAAGGAGGCTGAAGATTTAAGTGATGAAGAGGATTGATCTGAGTTATAGACAATAAATTGTTAAATTCTAAATAACTGCTTAACAAGAATCCAGTGAACTTTAGTTAATTTATAATTTTTTAATTTTAGTTTAAAAACGTATCTTTGCAAGCGGGTACAAATCATGGATAACCAAGACATAATTTTTAGTCCTGGTTCACGTCTTGGATATTCGCACATTCCTAAATCAAAAATAATCGATACAAATCGAATATGCATATTCGGAAAAAATCGAGTATCACAAATCGAGTATATTCGATACACTTCTTCGCGAGCAAAAGTAATAAAAAATAAAACAAAGCAACCCGAACCCGCCGCAAGTTAAAATGGAAGTGTGTTAACAACTATGTAAGTCACTTACAAAACAGCAGTCATTCAGAGAGTCAGTGCAAAATCGTTTCCCAAGGTTTTTCTTGATATTTTTATTTGTGATTTTCTATCGTGTGCTTTGTTTGTGTTGCGTTGGTGTGGGTAAGTGCGCGGATGCGTCGGTGTGTGTGTAAGTGCGCATGTATGTGCGGCAGCGCGAGCGAGATGGCACCACTCGGAGTAGCGGTTGTCAAAAACAGCTGATTTTGGTTCGGCCCAAGTCTGGTACCAGGGGGGTGTATGGTTGGAGTGGGGTAGGGGTGGTGTCTGAGGTAGCGGCCAGCACTCACCTGTAAGCTTTCGCTGCAAATAATGGGGATAAAGAAATGCCAAAAACAATGGCAATATTGAAAATATTTGTTTACGATTAACTTCTTAATATAAATGTAACTGTAATTTAAAGATTTAAGGGAGCTATTTCTTGTAGGTTTAAGACGTTTGTTCTTTTAATTTAGAAAATTGAATTGCAACGAAAAAGTTAAAGAGTCTGTCAATTTTAACATCTTAAAATTAACTTTCGATTTTAATCTATTTTCCAGCTGATTCAAGGGGCAATCCTGCTCGCAACTACTTGTAACTCCCCTTGATCCTCCAGCGACTTTGGCCGGGATGCCGCTCATCGAAGTGGGCTCCGCCGCTTCGGGAGTTTATCCGGAAAATGGCACCAAACAGCTGCACACCAAATCCACACAGAGCCTGGCCAAGCCGGAGCCCAGCTTTAATACCGAACCGGCGGCAGTGGGACCCCTGCTTTCGCTGTTCAACTTGCAGGGCCAAAAGTGGCAGCAGGTCTTTGACTTGGACAAGGTCATCAAACAGCTACGAACGGCGGAGAAGACATATTTGCGGGGTGGAAAGAATTCCAGCACTGCTGCTGCAGCCGCCTCCGGCGCCGGCGGAGATCAGCACCAGCAGCAGCAGCAGGCCAAGGTGCAGGTGCAGCGCCTGCAGTCGGCGGATATGGCGTATTATGACTTGGTGCCAAAGCTTGCCTCGCGGGATATAGTGTTATGCGGATCCTGTTCGGGCAGTTACACGAAAGCAGGGTTCCAGCATCACATCGCGCTGCAGCATCCAAACGTTTGGGATGCCACATCCAGCAAGGTCGTTAGCCCCAATGGGAATCATACCATTGCCAGCGGCGGCGGCGACGCGCGTCTCACTGCCACGGAGAGTCACAACAGCCAGGAGGCTGGCGGAGGAGGAGGCGGCGGCCTTGTGCCCCATTCGCCCACGGACACGCTATTGTCCGCCTCAACCTTGTCCAGCTGCTCCAATGGATCTAGCAGCTCGGCCTCTCTTCAGCATCCAGCTGGGACCTCATCGTCCTCGTCCTCGTCGTCGCGTCACAAGAGCAGCAGCAGCAAGAGTAGCAGTTCCTCCTCATCAAAGGGTAGCAGCAGCGGCGGCACCTCCTCTTCCTCGGGCGGCGGCGGTAGTCGGTCGCGCTCCAAGTCATCGAAAAATCGCCACCACTCGTCGCCGGCACCAGCGCCAACGGAGCACAAGGAGTCCAAGGGATCGAAAAAAAGTGGTGGCAGCAGCAGCAGTGCCATAGCAGCTCCGCCAATCGTCACCGCTGTCAAGGAGGAATCTCCAGCTGCAATTATTGCTCCTGCCATCACAGTCTTCTCCTCGTCCAGCAACTCATCCTGCAGTTTACCGCCTACGCCCGCCGCCGCTGCTGCCAGCGATGTGGCGGCGGGATTAGGGGTCAATAGCTACTCACCTGCGGAGGCGGAAAAGCTGCCAGAGTTGCAGTCAAGAAAAAAGGTATTAAATCTTTAACTTTTTTTATTTTTAAAAACCTTGAGTTATCTGTGGAATCGTCTTCTAGCTCAAGGGCTCCAGCGACCATCGAACAAAAGCGGAGAAGGAGAAAAATAAAGATAAACCAATGGTAAATCCTTACGAGCAACAGCAGGTGCTCAGCGAGCTAGACCAGGCGGTGTCCTCCATCGTCACGGGAACTATAGTCGAGCAGCAGCAGGTGGCACCGAATGACGAGGAAGAACTGCCTCTGCCCAACACTTCCGACGATAACTCCATTTCCCAGACCCTTGACGAGATGCTGGACAGCAAGCTAATCAATGAGATCCTTAACAACTTTGATGAGAGCGCTCTGGACACTTCTCAACAGCAGCAGCAGCCGTCGCAAAACGGAAATTCACTCTTACATCCCGCACAGGCCACCAAAAGGCTCCGTTTTGAGGACGGCGACACCGGCGAAGGCTATGCGACCTATCCGCAAGTCTATGCGGCAGCGGTGGAGGAGGAAGACCAGCAGCAGGAACTGACTACGATTGATGCGATGCAGCTTCAGCAGCTGATATACCAGCAGCAACAAATGCTAGAGCAGCAGCAACAACAAGAACAGCAGCAGCAGCAACAACAACAGGATCAGAAACTGCTGCAGGATCAGGAGCAGCAACGCCAGTTCAGCGTTTACAATGTGCAATCGCTGACAGATGAGGCGGTGGCTAATCCACAGCAGCAGCTGGAAGAGCACATGATCCTCCCCAGCATTATATACGAGATCAGCGACTCGAATCCCGTTTCGATGCTGGAACAGCAAAAGGTCATAGCCGAATTCTTAACACAAGCCGGCTACGAGAATGTGGATGTGAATGTGCTAGCCCAAGCGGGAACCGGAATGGAGGCGGCCACCAACCACAACCATTTGGCGGACGAGCTGAGCGACTTTGATTTCAGCAAACTGGAGACTGTTAGCGACACCGTTAAGACTGTTAAGCTGGAAGCCACCGGCCCCAGCCAGGCGCCAGCCAGCACGACAAATCCTCCTCAGGTCAACCATCATCATTCATCGCTGGAGGACAGCTTCTTTAATGTTATGCTGTACTCAGGTTCACCGCGCCCCCTTGCGTTGAATACCTTTGGCATGGTCAAGTTGCCCCAGGGTCTGGGCGTAACCTTCCGCAAGAATCTGCTGACCACACGCAAGGCCAATAACAGTTTGCTTTCTCTGACGGGTGGTAGTCATCTCGGAGTAGTTGGACAGCTGGCAAGACCACCACCGCCGCCGCCGCCGCACACGTCCTCGCCAGCGCCAGCACTGAGCAATGGCTTGCCAGCCAAGAACACTTCGGCTGGAAGGACCATCTATGCCCAGAGATCGAGCGTGATTGCACAGGATCGGTTGAGATGCAATAAGAGGGCGCTGCTTGCACCAGTAGGTAAAATCGGAGGAGGAGGCGGAGCGGGACCCATGACGCCCAAGCGCCTAAATGAGCTTCTAATGGGTAAGCAGGTGAAGAAGGAAGCGGCAGAGAAGGAATGCGAGGAGGCTGATCAACAAGAGGAGGACAACAAGCAGCTCACCCACAGTTTCTACGAGAAACGTCGCCGCCTGTTGGTCGCTGGAAAGCAAGAGCAGCTCCGCCCCAGCTACAAGATTCTCCCGCTGCAGAGCAACCACAATGCCAGCCAAAGTCATAGCCACTCGCCACAGCAACATCTTCTGAAGAAGCAGCTCCTGCGCACTCTCTCCGATGGCAGCAGCAACATGAACATCAACAACACTCCCAGCGCCAACAGCAGCAATCTCCCCTGGAAGGGCAACAGCTCCAGCTCCAATCCGGGGGGCAACAACTCCAACTCCACTCCAACCAGCAGCGACTTAATGCGCGTCTTCGTTGGATCTTAGTCCCCGAGACTCGCTGACACGCATCCCCAATTAAATATATATACGATCGATTATTATGTGTGCCGCAGCCTCGGTTATTTTTTAAAATGCTAAAATTTAGTTTTTAAAATCAATTTTAAATCAATTATATAATTTTTTTCATTTTTTCAAGTGATAATTAGTTACCGATTATTTAGTTGATTGTATGTAGTTTTCCCGTTTAGTTTACGCACTAAGTTTAGTTTAATTATACATATATATTTACAGATAAATATTATTTTCGTGGCTAAGCATTACGCTAAGCTAACCCGTAATGCATTATTTATAAAACGCTGTATAATTTTAAAAAATAATACAAGAGCATGCCTAAGTTCAATTTAATTGCGAAAACTAGTGTATCTTTGTGATTGATTTCAGTTTTCGAAAGAGAATTTCTCAATGGTGATCCGTGCAATGAATGAAAATAATGGAATGGAATTGAGTGGAAATAATGGTTTGCACCAAAGTGAATCCTTCCTCTGCTGCCTTCTGTGAGGCTGCAGATGGCGAAAATGTGATGCTGCTTCTAATCTGTGCGATGAATACAAGTAATGAGTGTGAGGTTTCTGTGAGTCTGGCGCTTGTATTCAAGGCTATTGATTAATTTGTACTGCAAACCCTGAGATCCTAAGTTAGTATTTGCCACACCAAGAATTAATTATAATACAACAGTTTCACAAAATTGAACAATTTAACAAATAACCAACAAAATAATATAACACGAACGATTAACAATGACTCTTTCTAGAAGAAATTTAAATGATTACGACCATCGCTCTGGACGGAAATTTGAAAGGCTACACCAGTAATTAAATTGGGTTTTAATTATGTCCTCGGACCCATGAACTGGACCCTCTGGCGTCGTGAGGTCAAAAGGCAGACCCATTTCAATGGGTATCTTTCGCTCCATACTATTGTTGGCCTGCTCTTGGCGCACCTGGTCAATTACGCACTGCATTAGCTCATTGGTGGGCTGACCGTAGCCAAAGATACTCAGGTGGCTGAGCCTGGGACAGGCTATGAACAGGTCAAGAATGGCAGCATCGCTTTTACCCTTGTAATTAAAGCATATTTGCTCCAAATTCTTGAGACTGGCAAACTTCTTTAAGTCATCTTCCTTCACCCCATACCAAATGGGAAGAATCAGCGTGCGAAGACCTACTAACTTGGCAATTTGGGATAGCTGCTCTTTGGGCAGAGGATTGGCACAATCAAATTCTAGGTATTCCAGCAGCTCTGCCTTGTGTTCCACCAGTTTATCGATGAGATCTGCTCCGGTGACATTTGTGTCGCTCTTCGAGCTTATGGTCAGTCTCTTGAGGTTGGGAAGTTGTGCCAAGACCTCGCATTTGCTTTTCTCGGTTGGCGATAGTCTCAGCATTTCCAGCTTTGGACAACAGTTCTTGTTGACCAAAGTTAGGCACACCTTATCTGTGACCCTGACCTCCCCCAGATTAAGTTTTCGCAGTTCGGTAAAGTGCTTGATGATCTGTGGTAAGTTCTGCACACGGAAGCACTTTCCCAAATCCAACTTTTCAATGGTGGTGGGCATGGAGAGCATGGTGTCCCTACTCAAGACTTTGCGCCCCAAGTAGAGGGAAGTCAGATTGCGACAGTAAAGCGGAATGAAGCCAAAGCGTTCGTCAGATTCCATCATGGGCAACAAACACTCTAGGTCCTGTATCTGCCAGCCAGTCAACTGGTAAAAGACTCGAATATCCCACAGAGTCATTTTGTAAAGGTCCTGGATATCCCCGCTACACAAATGGCAAATGTCTCCAATGTCCCATTGATTCATTTTGAAGAAGTGGCGCGTGTTCACGGATGTGTACTGCCTGGCGGTAGTCATTTGGTAGATATCACTGAAGCGGTGGCAGGTCCTGGCGAGGCGCAACCTATCGCGCAGCTTAAGGAACTTCATAATTTCAACCCAGCAGTCGTTGTTTAACTTTAAAATGGGAGCTGCCTGTGGTTGATCCTGCTCCTGCTTCTTCCCATAGGCATCCGGCTGAAGCCAACTATAGCTGGGCTTCACAATAAATTGGTTGCCGTGTAAACAGTGACTGGGAAATTCCAACGCTCTAGAATTATAGTTGGGAATAGGAATATCAATTGGCAATTAGGATAAAAGGTCTAACTAACTTGGCTGCGTCCTTGGGGTTGGCAAACAACACATCGCCATTTACACATGGTACTGGGTACTTCGGGTCCCTGACCACCCGAATTCCTAAGACACTGCCAAAATTGCTAAAATATGTGATTAAAATGTCTCCCGTCAGCTGGGAAAAAATGTTTTGAATTGTTTAAGACCAGGCTCAATCAGCACAGGCAATATCAGGACTATACCATACCTTCTGAGGCACCGAGGAAAAGTGCAGTTTTTTGATCAAAATATCATCTTCTGTGTAGGCAATTAAGTCACGAATGTAATAGCTTCTCCCTACTAAAGAAAGATGGATATACTCTCGGGACATGGCATAAACTCAGTTTGTCCTTTAACTTACATGGCTTCAAGAAAAGGCCGCTCATGTTGCTCATCTTCCTGGCCCTTACTAGGAAATGTATTCAGAAACAAAATACACGAATTTTTTCCTATAATAATAATACTGAAACTAATACAGAAAACCAAAAATGTAAACAGATATTTGATGTTTCCTACATGATACCACTGGAAATACAAAGATTCCTACGAACGACAATTTCCTAATACTGTAAAAAGCTGAGTATTATTACAAACAAATTGTTTAAACTTACATATGCATATCTGCTGATCCTGGCAACTCATTGGGTTTCAACAAACTTCATAAAAATTCCAGTCACAAAACCTTGCCTAGGATTTCCAGTATAGTTCAGGGTATCCACCGCAGAAGCCCCGTCGTCGCCGGAGTCGTCACCCAAAATTTACATCTTTACAAAATTTAGTTTATTTATATAATTATATAGTATACTATAATTGTAAATCGCACATAGGATAAAATATAATAAATAAAACACTATTAAGTGACAAGGATTCTATTAAGAAGCGCTCCGGTTTTAATACATCAAAGCTTTTATGATGAATATATCTACTTGTCATAGTCACAAATGTCTCTTCTAAATTTATAATTGATTTTTTAAATCATTTGCGGTATAGGTAACTGTGAAACCCATTTACTCTTTTTACCTTCAACTAAATTAATTTAAATTTTGAATATCGAGCGATAATTGACCGTTACGTGAAGTTTACTCGCCGGCTAATTCACTTTAGTTCGTTATGGTCACACTGCTGCCGGCCTTTTTTTTATACAGCTATGCAATTTGTTTTTGTGCTATTTATGTCTTGATCCTGATTATCCTTTTGTCGAAATGCGTTCGCTTAATGCGCACCTGCTCCTCCTCGCTGTCCTGCCTCAGCTGATGAACGTGCACGGAACACTATCCCCCGATAGCCAGAAGTCTAAGAGCAAACCGAAGGAGGCGAATGTGCTGCGTGGCCCCCAAGACAACGATGTTTTCGACCTGGGACTGGTGAGCCCAGAACCCTTGGCCAAGGATATCCTGGCGAATCACAGGGCGTACTTCAAGGAGACGGGGTTAAGGCGCTTCAATGGCACTACGTTGGGCTATGTGACACCGGTGAGTAGGAAGCCACATATTGTATTTATGTATTCGTTGCATTGTTTACTTAATTCGCAGTGGAACTCCCACGGCTATGATGTGGCCAAGATGTTTGCAAAGAAGTTCGATATCATTTCACCCGTCTGGCTGCAGGTGGTAAAGCAGGGCAATGGCTATGCCATGGCCGGAACCCATGACATTGATGCCGGCTGGCTGACTGATGTGCGCAGGAAGGGAAAACTGGCGCACAATCAGCGGACGGTGAAGGGTATATCTTAAGCCGGATATAAATGTTAATCCCTGACCCTAATCCAAGTAAATTTCAGTGTTTCCCCGCTTTATATTCGATCACTTTACTGATCGCGACATCAAGCTGCTGCTTAGCGATGCCCAAGAAAGGACGAAGGTCAACGACGTGCTCATAAAGTGCTGCAAGGATAATGGTTTCGATGGGCTGGTATTGGAAGTGTGGTCGCAGTTGGCAGGTCGTATAGATGACAACATCCTCTACGCCTTGGTCCTGCAAATGGGTGGGTTGTTCCTTAATCGTTATATACAATCTCTCGCTCATCCTCTTTTTATTGCCCTTCAGCTAAAGAGTTCCAGAAGCAGCAGCTGCGTCTTATTTTGGTCGTTCCTCCCTTTCGCAAGGACACGGGCAATCTTTTCGGAGAGAAACACATGGAAAAGCTGTACAAGCACATCTTCGCCTTCTCGCTAATGACGTACGACTTTTCTAGCGTTCAGCGTCCTGGTGCTAATGCTCCTCTGTACTTTGTGCGAAAGGCGGTGGAGACCATTGCTCCGCAAGGATGCTCAGATATGGAGGCGAAGCGAGCCAAGATTCTGCTGGGCTTGAATATGTATGGGAATGATTACACGCCCGACGGCGGAGGACCCATCACCTTCTCCCAGTATTTGGATCTGCTCAAGCATGTAAAGAAGCACTTGACCTATGACGAGCGAGATGTGGAGAATTTCTTTGAAGTCAAGTGAGTTTTTAACTGAGTATATTATATATAAGGACCTGAATGTTATATTCCTCTTCAGAAACGAAGACGGTCGCCACATTGTGTTCTATCCCACTTTGTACTCCATTAATGAGCGCATCAAGCTGGCTCAGGAGTTGGGCACTGGAATTTCCATCTGGGAACTGGGCCAGGGACTGAACTATTTCTACGATCTCTTTTAAAATAGCTTTTAGGGAACAAGCAACAATATTCCAGAATAAACTATCCGCTAAATTAGCTAAAGCTTGTAATTTTATTAAAAAAAATATATATATTTTATTTTCGCTATAAGGCGTAAGACGTAAAACAAAATGTCTAACATACTTAATTTTCGTCATATTTATGTAATTTTTAAACTTACCGCTTATGTTTTTTTCTAATAAATCACGAATGTCTTATACCAAAGACCTTATAATAAGATCATAACAATAAAAGTTAAAATCAATTTCAGCACTTCAATTTACTAATTTATTTAATTTAATAATATTATTTTTATTAAAATCAATTTCTTTATTCAACTGCCAAATTGATTTGGTATTTTTCTGTTATATTCTTCCGAGTCCCTTGGCATTTTTTCGATAACCGTGGTGTGGTAATACCATTATATTAGTAAACAAAAGTTATTATTTTGTTCTTTTTGAATAACGTGATTGACCCAAAAATGTGCTTAATGAACAGAAGATGTGGTCAAAGAACAAGTTAATACAGATTTACCTTCTATATCCGTGAACTTGCGACTAAATATCTTTATATGATTAAGACTTTAACTTGTTTAACCCAGCTCTGCAAGAAAATAAGAGTTATAATAACAGTAAATATTGACCAAGATCAAGATGCGATGGCTGTACGCCTGCTTCGTGATCGTGCTCTGTGCCCTGATCTTCTGCGAATATGTGGCTGACTTTGTGGTTTTGCAAAAGTGCAAATGGCCAGAGATTAAGCGAAAGAAGTACGTGGACGATCCGCTGCGAGCTATGATTATAGCGGATCCACATCTCCTGGGACCACATCGAGGTCACTGGCTGGACAAGCTGTACCGGGAATGGCATATGACGCGGGCTTTCCGGGCAGCGTCGCGGCTCTTCCAGCCTGATGTGGTTTTTGTCCTCGGCGATTTGTTCGATGAGGGCGATATGGTGAGCGATAAGCAATTTCAGGAGTATGTGTGGCGGTATCTGAAAATGTTCCACCTGCCGCCTGGTATACCGCTTATCAGCATTGTGGGTAACCACGACGTCGGCTTTCACTATAAGTAAGTAGCATTAATACTTTAAAACATACCACTTTTGAGATCAATTCGGATAAACGCTTGCATGTTAGAATCCCTGCATGAAATTCAGAATATTCCATTTAAGAATCCTAATATTGATCCTAATTAATCTTCCAGAATGCATCCCTTCTTTATGGTGCGCTTCGAGAACTATCTAAACAACTCGCTGGTGAACCTGTACACCATCAAGCAGATTCACTTTGTCCTTATTAACTCGATGGCAATGGAAGCGGATGGATGTATGTTCTGTACACAGGCCGAGGATCAGTTGAAGAACATTTCGCGCACCCTCCATTGCATGAAGTATCCGCTGGAGGCGGAGTGCGCCCGTACGCGGCGGCATCCCTATAGCCAGCCCATCCTGCTCCAGCACTTCCCCACATACCGGGTATCGGACGCAGCGTGTCAGGAGCATGATGCTCCCTACATAGAGGGCTTTCGGGAGCGCTTCCACGTTCTGTCCAAGGACGCCACGGACATGCTGGGTGACCTGTTGAAACCGAGACTGGCCTTTGCGGGACACTCGCATCACTATTGCCATAGTGTCAATCGATTGGGCATCAACGAGTACACGGTGGCATCCTTTAGCTGGCGAAACAAGGTCAATCCTAGTTTCATGCTGGTGGGTACAAGACGAAAGGTAAAGTGTAACCTAAGACTAATCCAATAATATTTCGTTAGGCTACTATAACACCCGACGACTACGTGGTTGCCAAGTGCAAAATGCTACCGCAGCAGTTTGTCTATAACAGCTACCTAAGTGCTGGCATCCTCTGCCTCATTGTTATTGCGTTCCGGGTGCGCCAGTGCATCGTGAAGGCCCAGATCTCCCCAGATCCTAGGAAGGACAATTAGTTGTATAAAACTTAAATGATAATGTATACAAAATGCATCCTCTTTTGTGATTTACGCCTGAATGAGGCATAGTTTAGAGACTAGACACAGCCAGATTAAAGATTCCAGATCCAGACAGTTGTCATATCACTCCGTCTGCTTTGCCATCGCTTAAAAATGCTTTATTTTTTCCATAGAGCATGCCAAAACATCGTGTACGATATATTTATTGAATTTATCACAGACAAAATGCTTCTAAAGTCACACGGAATACGTTATGAGACACAGTTTGCTGTCGACAACAAATGCCAAAGAATCATGCTTGCAACTTAGGCTGGAAAGTGGATATAAGGACGTGAATAAGAACAGAACCATTAAATAAAGCTAATGTTATAATACAATAATTACCCTACGCAGATTCATAGGTTCCTGTACTTCGGTTTCAATAGACTACAGACTAGACTACAATTATATTAAGCTACAGCTACTAACTAGACCAACAAGCAGGGGTTCTGTGGAATATTTATATAAGTGCTTAAATTCCCTTTGGCTTGGCACAGGAAGTAAGGGTAGTCCCTTGACTACAAGAGGTTTTTGTGCGCCTGCGCATGGATATGGCGACTCTCGAAGCACTCCTTCGGAAGGAATCTAAAAATAAACCGTATATTATTCCCTATACCACAGATATCCAAACAATACTAACCTATGAATCACCGGCGATATTAGATCCGGATCGAGCGTCTTGGTGTTCGTGGGCTTGGTCACCAGGGACACCAACGCTCCCACTACAATTACCGTGGCCACACCAATTGGATTTATCCAGTGGTAGGACAGACGATACAGCGGAAAAACCTGCTCCTCGTCCACCCACATATTTTCGGGAAGCGTGATATTGCCCACACATCCCTCCACGGATACGGAAAGCTTTTGAGAGTTTAATTCTCCAGCAGCAATGGTGAATTGCGTGC